GGAAAAGCTGGGCGTTTCGCATTCTGTTAAAAAGCTCAACGCAGGCGAGATCATCCCACGCAGAAAATATTTTCTAGTTTTATTATCTGACGATGCTGTGCAGTTTCTGAAGCGTTACAAGGTTAAGATACTTTATTTACTGTTAAGCTAAAGTGTTATTTTATGCTTTAAATCATATGCTGTGTCACTGGATTTAAAGCTGCTGGCACCTTCTTTCAGTAATCACTCTTGACAACAGCTAATTGGAAAATGATAGAAAATGCCCCTTAATTTACATACATGATATCCTACTACCTGAATATCGTGATATGATTTGGGGGTTATATCACCCACGCGTAAATTGCCAACACATGAGGCTAATCCAGCGGTAGGCAGCTAAATATTGTTTTGCACTTGCCGTAGCTTCTGTCGCTAACACTAGCTTGCTGTCAAATGTTGGCTCGGTTGACAAGAAAGCTAGGGTGGCAACTGCAGGGGCTATCGGTACATTTACTGATTTACCTCCAACTAAAGCTACGGTAACACACGCCTGGACATTTTACACTATATATAGCTATATGTGTCTACAGGCCTTTAGTCAAAGCAAGGATTTGTTATGATTGTACAAACGCAGTCGCTAGCATGTCTACGCAGTGGGTTAGTTTGTTTCTGAAGCACAGAAGGAACCAAAACAAGCTCAGTGGCGTGGGGTAATAGTGGGGCAGAATTTTTAAACTAATGTGATTCACATTTGCCTTTTACTACTGCTGTAGGATTCGCAAATATAGTCCAACTTGCTGTAGTCTTGCCCCAGTGCGCGTCATCTATAATCAAAATACCGCTCACTCACTGAAGAACCGGGATGGGCAGAGTTCATAATCGTGCATATACCCCAAAACACCAAAGCTAACTTTAGGCTGACTAGCTAGCAAGCTTGAACTTATTCTATCCAAACCAACGTCCGTCAGTAGTATTTGTCCTGGCAACCAATTAAATATTTCTACAAAGACATATGAAGCTGGACTCACCTAAAAGAAAAGCAGTAGAAAACAGAATCTGTGCTTGTAACAGTGGCTGCTAAAGCGCTGCCAGTGGTAATGTAATGAGAGGTGGAAACACACGCTTGTAGGAATGGCGCGGGGAGAACAGCAGGCGCGTGTTGATGACGTAGGATCAGCGGCAGGCTGCTTCATCATGAGTAAAGAGAGCCAATCGCTGTTTAGTATACTGACACCAAAAAATCTGGCTGCTGAATTTTTGTATTTTGTTTGTTTTTGTAGGAAGTATTTTAAAGTTAATTCCGTCCTGAACTGGAAACCAGTGAAGTTACTTCAGTACTGGGGTAATATGTTCAAATTTCAATGTGCCTGTAAGCACTCTGGCCACTGTATTCTGAACAAGCTGAAGTAACCCTACTGATGATTTGGCAAACAGATCATTACAGTAGTCTAGCATGCTTGATATGAATGCATAGACCCATTTTTCAAAGTCAGTCTCAGGAATATATTTTCTAACTTTTCATACACTTGTTAAGTGGTAGAAAGCTGTTCTGGCGACCTTATTTGTATAATTATCCAAACTGAGTTCCAAAATAATGCCAAGGTTTCTGACTTGCTCACTGTGTTCAGAGAGAAGAAGATAAACATGGACAAAATTCTGTTTCTGACATTTTTGGTGCAATCACAAAAATTTCTGTCTTGTCTCTGTTCAGTTCTGAAAAGTTTCTATACATTCATCAGTTAATGTTATCAGTGCAGCTTATTAAACTGTGAAAAGTAGTTAGATGATTAAAGAAAAATAAAAAGCACAACTGTGTATCATCTGCATAAGAATAGTAGGACATATTATTATTCTTTTTGATAGTGCCAAGCACATACTAAAGGACATTTTAGTATCTTGTTTAATATTTGTCTATTTAAACTTGCATAGAGACCATGCATTATTCGGATATACAGTTTCATGATTACTTAATTTCCTGATTTACTTTAATTATCTTTTTTTTCCAGTTCAGTACATTAGTTCTAGTATGTTTCCAGGGTGGGCTTTCTCATTTCAGTTCAGTTTTTGTTTGTTTGTTTGTTTGTTTGTAAGTCCCAAAAAGTTGATTCTGTACATCTGGACATAGCGTTTTCAGTGGGAAAAACATTCCATCGCTCATGCAAGTGACGCCTTCAGTCTTAGCGATTTCCCTACCAGGATGATTGAGCATGCATCAAGACGTTTGTTTGTAAGTTTCTTTTTTATATATAATTTGACAATATGGTCAGTTTTCAGGGGTGATGCAAACACAGCACTTTGTGAAGGTAATTGGCTTTGTAATATAAAATTCAATAAATAGATCAGTGTGTCCTCTGATTTTAAGTGTCAACAGATTTGACTAAAACTAAAGACACAGGTCTATATATTTCTTTTATTTTTGTGAGCAATATTGTTTTGTCTGTTTTTTTTATTTTGTTTAAATATCTATTTGTTTACATCTACTGTTTGTTAAGGTTTAATTAATTATTATAATCATGATACCTTCTGTACTGTTTGTCGTTCATTATGATTCCCCAGGATCTCAAGCTGTTTTCTCAGAAAAGGCCGGCTGTCCTATAAGGCTTGTGTTTATGTGATGCTGTTTCATTAAATAGCATCGCTAATTTCTTCACAATTTGGCCTCAGTCAGAAAACCAAAGAAAAACTTCATTTTGTATTTGCTGAAAAACTCTAAAGGGCTACGACTCATCATTTTCTCGGTGGAACAACGCACTTTTGGGTTGAGTTGTGCCAAAACTTGATTTCCAGCATTTTGCCAAAAAGTGATTGCCTGTATTTAAACTGCTATAAATAACTTTTTGGCCTATAATATGTGAAACATATGTCAATTGTGTCCAGTCCATCATGAATGATATCAAGTCATCTTGAGCCACAAACGACATTCCTATCACAAGGTGAAAGCCGCAATCACTTTTTTGCAAAGCGACTTTTATATATCCTTTATTTATCCTGTTAAAAGGTCTCACTTACATTAAAAAATGTATTTTAAGAGTAATCTGACCAAGAGAATAGCAGAAATTGCAACAAATATAACAATAGGTCCATAAGGATATTTTAAGTGGCCTTAAAGGGTTGGATTGGTTATAAAGTAGGTACAATAACACAAAGTCATCACTTGAAAAATGTTAATTTTGAAATTTTATATATAACCCCATTTGTAAATCATGCTCATAAAGTCTATTTCCCAATACAAGTAAAGACATTAACGTAAAAAATTGAAAAGAAAAAAAGAAAAAAAATAAACTGGAAAAAAAAAATTGAAAAACACTCACTTTTTTGCCTGAAGGGCCACTATGCACCAGCCGAACAAGCAGTGACAGCAGTCCATTGGTTCATTTTCATGACTGACACTGGATTGCCCAATCAAATCTCGTAACGTGACCGGCCCCTCCCATAGCTATGCTGTGTGCTCATGGATCAAATGGCAAGAAGGTGGAGCTGGAAAGCTGAGAGAAAATAGTAAAAACAAAAATAGATGCAATAAAATGTGCCAAACTAACAGACATGTTAGCTGTCGGGGCTGCTGCACCGTGAACAGTAGTACCAGCAACAAGTAGTAACCAGGCCTCACAGTCAGAGGAGCGTGCTGCTGCTAGCACCAGCTGAAGGGAACACACACATATATATATACATACCAAAAAATAATCCAAGTCCAGTCCTGTTGACATCTCTGATCCCTAAATGTGGCTTGTATTCAAGGAATTCTCTAATCTTGCACATGGCATGTGGTCATTCACTGGGGGGAAAGGCATAACCCAGAGTACACAGGATAGTTATCTATTTTGAGTGTAGACGAGTTTATCTTCTCACATAATCTGGAACTGCTTGATTTAGATTTTCTTACCACTAGGTGGCAGAGATATTTCAAAGCAGATGTACAGGCACGCAGCCTTTAGGTTATCAGGTCAGAATCTTGACCAATGTATAAATGAAAACTGCTTATTTTAAAAACCTGGAAGTTATACAAGACAAAGTGGACCACATTTCTGTCAGTCTATCATCGGTGACACCAGAGATAAACAAATCATGCAATCACGCATTTATGTTGGCTCCCAAGAGAGTATTCATTCCTCTCTGTGGTTTACCACACAATAAGTATTATGCATTCACTGAATACTGATCACATCAAATAAATATAGTTTACCACATAAAGCAATCTACTCAGTGCAAGACACCAACTGACTAAATGTGCCCTATTTCAGTATTTCTCAAAATCAGAGTAACTTGATATTTGTGTGGAAAATGCTGGTCAAATAGCCTTTAATGTGTTCTGGGCAATAAGCAGACATATTACAGACATATCACTTAAGTATCTGAGAAAGTACAAGTACTGTGAGAAACTAGTTCGCCTTTTTGCACATAGCCCATTGTCAGGTGACATGCAGAACATGTTTTTCCACACAGTTATCTAACTGTAAATCATAGTGACACTAATCCCTATCAGTCTTCGTTTGAATTTCGGTGGCCATTTCACTGAAGGCTGTGTATTAACTGGGATAACTTACAATTATGGTACACATGTCAAGAAAAAAGCTTTCTAGACATTATAACGACAAGAAAGATGATCACTTTTGACAAACAATGGATTTGTTGATACAAACAGAATAGAAGAGAAATATCCTTTATTGTCCCTCGTTGGGAAATTCACGTGTTACAGCAGCAAAGTGAAAGGCAGACAGAACTTGCAGATTCAAGTAAAGAATATCAAATAAAAAATGAGAAATGACAATTTTACAAATACTTGATCAGACATTGCAGTGCTAAAGGTGAGTGAGACTTTTTTTAAATGAAAATGAAGTCATAATGCAGCTGCTCAGAACACAATCAGATTTAATTACACACTTAGCACTCTTCCATACCTACCAGCCTAAGTTTGTGTGCGTGTGTGTGTGTGTGTGTGTGTGTGTGTGTGTGTGAGTGTGGGTGTGTGTGTGACTGTCTGCCTGTCTGTGTGTATATTGAGATGTTCTTTAAATGGGAGGATCCTGTTCCTCGTTCCCTCTTTGAGTCAGTCTTTCCCGCTGAACAAAAACGTTTCTCTCACAGACTCACAGACACTTGACTCCTGAGCCTTCTGTACCAGAGAAGCATGGATTTCATGGAACTCTTTTTCATTGCTCTTGGTACTGGAGTTGTGGTGTACTATGGAGTGAGGCTACTGCTTTTCAGTAGGATGCTTTTTCCAAAACTGTGGTTTCCACTGCCAAAAACTTTTTTCACCTCAATGGGAGAGTGGGCAGGTGAGCAGCATGTTTATGCATGTCCACATGTATGCGTTTGTGCTGTGCGTGTCTGTGCCATGTGTAATGAATACCATACAATCTTCAGTAGGTCATGCTATGATAAATAAATCCTGGAACTTCAGTAGGTTACGTAGTATCAAGCCAACATAGGTATCACGTTTTGTGATACAACACTACATTTATGTGTATACTGTATGTAATTAGAACTTTTAAATGACTACATTATTTGAATTAATTAATAAGCCAAAGTGTACATGGCAGAATCTGCAAGTGCCATGAACACTAAGCAGTGAAAGTGATTTAGTTGATCAACTTGTGTGTAAAAGTGCATTTAGTAGGTCACAATAGAGTGAGTCCCCTGCCCAAACTTGTTTTAACATTTCAACGTTACACAAGATTGCGCTTGTGCGCTGATATACCCAAAGGAGGCAAGTCCCGACACTTAAAATACTTCTTTTTTATATACTTGCAGGGCAGCTGATATATGTACAGAAAACACAATTCAAATTCAATATCAAAATGTATGGAACATCAAGCATAAACTGCATGTTTTTCACATAACATCCATTCTGAGATGAGCAAAATGATCCGCGTCATCATAGTTGACATTGGAAAAAAGCTGCATAACGACAAGTCATACCTGTGTGACTAGTTTAACAGGAAGAACTTGGTATAGTACAGGGAGTCAGAAATATTCCTCTACCTTACCACACTATAGCCTACTCTTCCGAAAAATGTAAAGAAAATATAACAACTACATTTATTTTATACACAATTACATGTAGTGATAAGCTTACTGACAAAATGCACCATATTCCATTCATTTTCAAACTTGTAATAATTTAGATTGGCATGTAGTTGTGTAAAAAGGGCTGTTAAAGTGCAAATTATGATACGCAAATTATATATGCAAACTGTTTCTAATTAAGAACAGGAAAAACATTTTCAGATTTCAAGAACAGACAAGTAAAGCCAAACCTTCGGGTTGAAAATGGCAAATTACTGTTGAAGGTTTGATTTAAACCAATCATGTTTTTCAGTGTTTTCCCAAAACATTTTACCCTGAAGTGTTTTTGTAGTGAGTGGATATACAGGATTAAGAATAATAAGCAGGAAGCTTTTACATTCGAAGTGGGTACAACAAATCTAACTTAAACACTCCAAATGAAACTACAGAATAGAGTCAACTTAAAGGCGGCTGAGGAAATGAGCAAATACTTGCTCTCTTGTCAATCTCCTTGTGACATTCCTCTGCAGGTCCAGAAGCAGTTTCATTCACTCAAGAGGTTTGCTTTGGCATCTTCTGAAGGGGTTATTCTCTCACAGTGCTCAAAGAAGCCTAATAAAAACACTGGGCTGATCTTGCTTTTCTTCCCAAAGCCCACTTTCCTTCCCACTTTCATTCCATTCCGGCACAGAGGAATAACATCTGAACAGCACGTTCTAGGCTGCATAAATGACACCCCTCTCCAATTATTTCTCCCAATAATTGGAAAGCCCCATTTGTATCCCTCTTCAGACCTTTTAAACATTTTTAGTTTCAAGAAGCCTAAGCGGTGTTGTGCATGTGCATGGATCTATTGATAACAAAGAATAAGTTACTCAAATGGCAATGCCCCATTTTTTAGAAGCTCACAAATAATTAGGACAATTAACTATTTCACTGTCAGGTGAGGCATTTACTTTTTTTCTTTCATAATAATTAGGCAGATAAGAGATGTGGGCTTTTCAAATATAAGTGCTGTACTTGTATTTGGTAGCTGTCCACCAATAAGATGTCAGTGCAAGTGAAGGAGGGAATCACTAGGCTGAACAACCAAAACAAGCTTGCCAGAGAGACACTAAAAATGCAGGAGTAACCTAACCATCAGTTGTGAAGGCACTGGGCAGCTCAGCAGCACCCAAACACAACATCTAACCAAGGTAAGAACACTTTTAAGGTGGTACGTGAATCATCATCAAGAGGTACAATCAAGAGATGCTTTCATGAATGTAATTACAGAGGGTTTACACCGAGATGCAAATCACTGGTCATACACAGAAACAGTAAGGCCAAAAAACATCTAGCAGAGCCTGCAAACCAGATAGATGAAACTCAACTTAACTTGTACCAGAACGATAGCAAGGGAAACTGCTCGTGATTTGAAGCATACCGCCTTATCTGACAAAGATGGTAAATGGTAAATGGCCTGCATTTGTATAGCGCTTTACTCAGTCCCTAAGGACCCCAAAGCGCTTTACACTACATTCAGTCATTCACCCATTCACACACACATTCACACACTGGTGATGGTAAGCTACATTGTAGCCACAGCTGCCCTGGGGCGCACTGACAGAGGCGAGGCTGCCTGACACTGGCGCCACCTGACCAGGTAGGGGCATTATTACGACATGTGTGTGTATGGTTCTAATTGTGAGTGAATCACTATTGTTTACTGATAATGTGACTGATAAATGTAGAAGGATGAATTATTTAGTGTGCAGGGCTATACGCTCTGCTTAGATTCAGCCATGTGCTGCATAACCTATCAGGCAGTGCAAATAGATAATGACCCAAAGCATGTTGCAAAAGCAACCCAAGAGTTTCTCAAGCCAAAGTAATGGGATACTCTTCAATAGACAAATAATTCATTTGATATTAGTCAAATAGAGCATGTTTTTTAGTTACTGAAAATAAAATCTGAAGGTAGAGAGAAAAGCAAACTGAATGTAGTTGCAGTTAAGGCCTGAGCAAAGCATTAACATCTGGTGATGTCCACAAGATTTCAATATAACTTAAAATGATCTTAGTTTGTCCAGCTTTTTGAGTTTCTAAACACAGGGAACTATGCACAATGACGACTGTGATTCCTAAAAGTTAAACCACTTGAATTAAAGTTGAAATTCTGCCCTTAAATCACATTTATGTTATTTGATTTAATATCCGCTGCGCTGGTGGACAGAGGCAACATTGCAAACACTGTGTCTAAACATTGTGTCATCCTTCAGTATTTATTTACTCAAATGGTAAATGGTAAATGGCCTGTATTTGTATAGCGCTTTACACATCCAGTCACCCACCCATTCACACACACATTCACACACTGGTGATGGCAAGCTACTCAACTCTGACAATAGAGTACAATGAACTCACTGTGACATATTAAAGTGAAGTAACTGTGGCGAGCTTTGTGAGACCACACAGTTTTTGTATAAAGTGGACAAATATGGCACTTAGAAACACTGTTAACAATGGGGACAAATAGACTTTCTATTCCCTTGTTGCCCTTGTTGAGTGCATAGGCTCAACATTAATTTAATATTGGAAAATGTCTTAAGTTGGCTTCCAGTTTTACTATCCTGCTGGCTTTTAAATGACAGTCTTTCTTGCTGCATCACTCTCACACAACAGCACATTTGTCTTTGAAGAGAAGCCTCCACAGGCTGCTGCAGTTCACAGAGCTCATTTGCATAAAGGAAAATGTCACAGTCATGTCTGGTTTCAAATTATTTTGGGCATGTTGATTTTATTCAGTTTGTCACAGAGAAATCCATTTTTTTTTATAACCAAATGTTATATACCTACATAATGCTGTGTTTCTTCACTCTCAGAAAAATAATGGTTCTTAAATGGTTCTTTTTAAAGACTCTATGGTTCTTCAAAGAACATTACCAGCTAAGGACCCTTTTAATTTATGAAAATGTTGTTTCATATTTTTCATTAAATATCACAAATAGATTTTAAATATATTGTAGTGGGCTAGGGGAAAGGGCCGCTGGCTAGAGGACAACTTAGAACACGTATATCTGATGTTAACGTGTTCTAAGTTGTATTGTTGTAATGGCAGTTACAGTTATCAGGTGTTGATTTGCCATTTTTGTGTAAAATTACAGCTGCTGTGTTTTCTGTGTTTGGTGTAGCCAGCGGAGCACTGTGAGTTAGACTGCTGTGTCCGTTTACCACCTCTCACTGCTGTGGTGTATGACGGAGCGATCCTAATTAAAGGCTTTGCTCGCTGTAGCTTAGCTTTACAGCTAATGCAGGAATAGCAAGTTGAATACGGAAGTCTTCGTCTCCTACTTGTCTGAGCTTGCCACAATATTGTTTTGTTTAAGTTATTTGAAGGAAATGACACAGAAGAGTGATTTTCCTGTGACTGGCTCAGGTTTGAGTAACAGTGGAAATCATGAATTACAGATGCTGCAATCTGCAAAAAGGTGGACTATAATTAAATTGTGAAGGGACAAGAAGTTGTTCTTGGGTTAGACATCTTTAATAATCTATTGAAGTAATACACTAAAGGACCAGGGGTGAAGCTCTAGTGTAGCTGTCTGTCATTTTTGTTGCAGTACATGTCATTTAGAAGCTTTCTCTTGAAATATTATGGTGCTGACCAGCAAAGGGTAGCTGAGATGTTATTCTTTCCTCATGACTTCCAGCCCTTCCAGTGCTGCAGTGTCAACAGAGGCGTTTAATCCTCTCATTGTGTTATGGGCGTGCAAAAGGACATCCTTTGAGCTGAACATTTCTGCACAGGAAGGCCGATAAATGTCCAGCTCCAAGTTGGCTCATTTAGAAGAAACATGCTCATTCTAAATGTGCGACTGTTTTTATGGTCTGAAAAACAAAGTATTTCCCCAAGCGAAAATTGTTTTTATGGATGAAATACTACAAAGAATTTCTCAGAATCAACTGAACCCGTTCAGTTCATGTTGATAGTACAGATATAGACATACATCAACAAATCAAGAAAACAAGTGATCTGCTCTGCTAGTTTGCCAAAAAATATTAAAATTCATGTGGATTAACAAGAATCAGACAACTGTAGTAAGAAGTGTTGGTCAAGTTACTTGAAAAAAGTAATCAGTAACTAATTACTGATTACTTCCCCCAAAAAGTAATCCCGTTACTTTACTGATTACTTATTTTCAAAAGTAATTAATTACTTAGTTACTTAGTTACTTTTTAAAAACACGATTTACAACCTGAATAGGTGATAAAGCGATAGATCTTTCAGCCCAATTCTACTTTTTCTGCATAATCCATCATACAAAATGTAATCAAATGGAAAAGTCTCTTTTTAAAACTTGTTTTATTAGTTTTAATCTTTTAACTTTATGCATCAAGCAAAAATTTAATTATATGCAACATTCTCTGACTGGAAGAAATTTGTTTAACATTTAAACTTATTTTCTGCACATTCCAGCACATAAAATATTTTTTTTTGTGTGTTTACACTCACTCTTTCAAATAGATGCAAGTAAAACACAGCAGAAAATAAATAACATCAAAGACTAGCGGTCCTGTTGCTCTATTTTCACCTGTAAAGCAGGAGTGGCGTAGGCGGAGGTTTACCCGGTCAGTGGAAGAATCCGCGAGTTTCTCTGTGAGTTTCCCATTACGTCATAGCGCACTCGGTGCTTGCTTGGAAGTTTAGGGGTTTTTCGCTGTAAAAAGAAGTTTTCTTCCCACGCACAACGGACACTAATGTTTTTGTCACTTTTTATGGAATCAAACTCAAAGTAAGGTCAGTACTTCCACGCTTTAAACGCTGCACGCTCATACTCTCTCCCGCACTCGATATGATCCATTGTTGATCTGCACACAGCTGTTGTCACTGTCATGAGACATTCTCGCAAAAAAATCACGGTTTTAGTAACGCAGTAACGCAGCGTTACTACGGGAAAGTAACAGTAATCTAATTACCGTTTTTGCAATAGTAATCCCTTACTTTACTCGTTACCTGAAAAAAGTAATCAGATTACAGTAATGCGTTACAAGTAACGCGTTACTGCCCATCTCTGGTAGTAAGTCAGCTTATGAACGTAAATGACAACTTTGCACAAATATTACAAATACTATAACCTTAGTGGAACAATTTCCCTACAGTGCAGCTTACTTGCAGCAGCTGTCCTTTGCAAGTCCTTTGCTGTTGCGTCAGTAAAAACATTTGGTGTAGATACTCTGCCAAATCAAGCATGGGGAGCTACTTGCTATGGCGACCCCTTGTGAAAAAAACCTTCCCTAATCCATCCATCCATCCGAGATGGCTTTCTTTGTTTATCTTTTAATTTTAAGAAGCATCAGTGCAGTATAGTTTTGTGGAGGTCCTGCATAAAAATATGCTGAAATTATTTATTGCATCTTGTAATGTCTTGATGCATCCAGGTAAGGAAATTCCAAAAAGTTGATTCTGTTCATCTGGACATAGCGTTTTCAGTGTTATTTCTTCAGTATCAGCTGACTGCAATTTTTTCCACCCTTATAAACAGTACATTTGCGTAATGACTATAACTGTCGTGGTTGGTCCTGGGTCATTTTGACCCAGCGCCCCCCTTTTTCTTTTCTTTTTTCGGTTTTAAGTTCATTTGTTACTCTAAGGAGTTAGTCTATGGGTCCTTAGTTGTTCAGTTTGGATTTCCCCTCGTGTCTTTACCCCCCTTTGTCCCCCTCTGTGTACTGGAGTTCTGGTGCCTTGTTTTCCCCTCCTTGTGTTCTATTCCATGTTTCCCCAGGCCGTCATGTCTGTGCTCTCCCTCCTGCTCCTCAGTGTTCTCTCTTCCCCCCAGTCTGCGTCTCTGTGTATTTCCTGTTTTATTGTGAAGGTCCGTGTCTTATGTCAGTGTGTTCAGCTCACGTTTCCCCTGTCTCATCAGGTCAATTAGGTTCAGCCCTCCTGTTTGCCATTCTGCATTTTCCTCTGTGTGTATTTATAGTGTGTGCTCATCGCTGGTTTGTCTGTGTTACCTCCACGTGTCATCCCGTGTTCCACCACAGATGTTTTCCTCTGAGTTATGGTTTCATATTTGTTTAGGTTTGTTCTTAGTTTCCGTCCATCCCATCTCTGTTCTGTCTGTATTATCAGAATATAAAGTGCCTTTATATTGTTGAGATTTGGCGCTATATAAATAATATTGTCTCCTGGGTGAGGTGTTCCGGGCATGTCCCATCGGGGGCAGGCCCTGAAGCAGACACAGGACACGCTGGAGAGATTACAGTGGCTTGCAAAAGTATTCGGCCCCCTTGAACTTTCCCACATGTTGTCACATTACAGCTACAAACATGAATCAATTTTATTGGAATTCCACGTGAAAGACCAATACAAAGTGGTGTACACGTGAGAAGTGGAACGAAAATCATACATGATTCCAAACATTTTTTACAAATAAATAACTGAAAGTGGGGTGTGCGTAATTATTCAGCCCCCTTTGGTCTGAGTGCAGTCAGTTGCCCATAGACATTGCCTGATGAGTGCTAATGACTAAATAGAGTGCACCTGTGTGTAATCTAATGTCAGTACAAATACAGCTGCTCTGTGACGGCCTCAGAGGTTGTCTAAGAGAATATTGGGAGCAACAACACCATGAAGTCCAAAGAACACACCAGACAGGTCAGGGATAAAGTTATTGAGAAATTTAAAGCAGGCTTAGGCTACAAAAAGATTTCCCAAGCCTTGAACATCCCACGGAGCACTGTTCAAGCGATCATTCAGAAATGGAAGGAGTATGGCACAACTGTAAACCTACCAAGACAAGGCCGTCCACCTAAACTCACAGGCCGAACAAGGAGAGCGCTGATCAGAAATGCAGCCAAGAGGCCCATGGTGACTCTGGACGAGCTGCAGAGATCTACAGCTCAGGTGGGGGAATTTGTCTGTCAAATATGGTGGTGGCAGCATCATGCTCTGGGGGTGCTTCTCTTCAGCAGGGACAGGGAAGCTGGTCAGAGTTGATGGGAAGATGGATGGAGCCAAATACAGGGCAATCTTGGAAGAAAACCTCTTGGAGTCTGCAAAAGACTTGAGACTGGGGCGGAGGTTCACCTTCCAGCAGGACAACGACCCTAAACATAAAGCCAGGGCAACAATGGAATGGTTTAAAACAAAACATATCCATGTGTTAGAATGGCCCAGTCAAAGTCCAGATCTAAATCCAATCGAGAATCTGTGGCAAGATCTGAAAACTGCTGTTCACAAACGCTGTCCATCTAATCTGACTGAGCTGGAGCTGTTTTGCAAAGAAGAATGGGCAAGATTTCAGTCTCTAGATGTGCAAAGCTGGTAGAGACATACCCTAAAAGACTGGCAGCTGTAATTGCAGCAAAAGGTGGTTCTACAAAGTATTGACTCAGGGGGCTGAATAATTACGCACACCCCACTTTTCAGTTATTTATTTGTAAAAAATGTTTGGAATCATGTATGATTTTCGTTCCACTTCTCACGTGTACACCACTTTGTATTGGTCTTTCACGTGGAATTCCAATAAAATTGATTCATGTTTGTGGCTGTAATGTGACAAAATGTGGAAAAGTTCAAGGGGGCCGAATACTTTTGCAAGCCACTGACTGAATACCTGTTAGGACCATTTGCCTGAGCATTTATAGTTTTCTTTCCAGATAATCACTAAATGGATTTTGTGCTTGTGTGTGCTTAGTTGATGTTCTTTTATAAAGCGGATGTGTTTACTAATGTTAGAGTAATAATCCTTATCTTCTCCTGGGGCATAGTGCAGATGATCACAGTTTTAGTGCCTCTCCCTTTAAGAACGCACTCTTCGAGTTTTGTTTTGTTTTGTACTGATTGCTCCATGCAAACATTGAGAATCACACACAACTCACTTTGAACTTACCATAAGTGGGCTGGTACAAAGAAACTCCCATTTCTGTCAGTCGAAGGAAGTTTAACAACAGAAATTTGTATTATAGATGAATATAAAAAAAAAGTGGATTTTCTTTCTGTCATCTAATTGTTTATTTAATTATTTGATGCAGGATGAATAGACATGAGGGACGTCTTTATCAACAGGAAACATTATAAAACTTATTTGAAAAAACTAAAATTTCCAATGCCATCCAGTGGGCCAAATTGCAGTTTTTGCTGAGCCAATTCTGGTCCTTAGGCCTTGTGTTTGACTCTCCTGGCTTAGAGCATTTAGAGCAGTCTGAAACTTGAGCTTTTGGTTCACTGCGGTAACTTTTACTTATGTTGACTATATTATTTAAAACTTTGATCATGTTTAACATGAGCACCATATATTAAAATCAAAACGTCCACTTCTCATCACATAACCTCACCACACATGCTCAGTTTGGTTATTTGTGCTGTTTCATTGTCTTTAATGTAGTTCTTAAGTTGATATAATTAGTTTGTTTTTTTTTTAGTTGAGTATGTATATCTACATGTTAAAGCCCTATTTGAACATACTGCTGCCTGTTTGTGTATACTGTGGTTTTCACTAAAGAAGAAATATAAATGACAAAACTTAGCGGATTGCATTTCATAAAACGGAGGCTCAATGTGAGGTTTCTTTGTCATTTGATACTTTCCTAATTAAGTAGTAAAAGTGTGAATTCAATTTATTTGTTCAGCTGAACAAATTAAAACGGAGGCTTAATTTCAGTTCCTGTTTCAGTAGTTAATAGGCAGTGTCACATTACTCATTTCCCCCCTGTGCTAACAACACTTCAAACCATGGGATCTTTTTAATGTTTTAATGGCTTTACACAATTTTCTCAGTGCTGTAAAACATAATTAGATATGAATTCTCATTTAGGCCTGAAAACGGTGATGAAAACAGCCTGTGGTCTTTGTAATAAGGGCCAGGAGGAAATGGGAGAGCAGTGAACACTCAGAAACAAGCTGTTCCCATCAGTTCTTTATCACACCAGGGGAACATGCTGTTTTAGCACAGTTTGTACAAACAGAATGGAGTGAGGATTAAACTAATGTAAACAAATAATAAAACAATCCTGGGATTTGGCTGAAAGCAGAGGAAGATGGGTAAGGCAGTGCATTACTGTACTGTTCTGTGCAGTACAGTGCCTCTAGTGGTCAGAATGGAAACTGCAGGAGATTTGATGAGGGATTCATTTGTAATTTTCAGTCTCTCCATCCTCCTTTCAGTGGTGACTGGTTCTTCAGAGGGAATAGGAAGAGCATATGCATTTGCAGTAAGTGACTGTTTAAATAACTCTGCTTGTGTTCTCATAAAACAAAACGAATACACATACTGTACATAATATCTTTTTATATTTTAGCAAATACTTATATGTATAATAATTTGAAATGAGCACACCATAGTTAAACTACTGTTCCTTTGAGGCACACTTGCTACTTTTTGCTGTGTAACTGTGTTTTCATATGTACTTTTCCACTATCGCTATTGCATCTCAGCTAGCTCAGCGGGGAATGAACATTGTAGTCATGAGCAGAACCAAAACAAAACTGGATCAAGTGGCTAAAGAGATAGGTATCTATGTGCATGTTTTATTTACTTTGCTTCCTAAAATGTATGATATCTGCTAATATGCTGTTGATCCAGGCAAACGGTGCACAATATTTGTCTTTTCATTGTTCACAGGAGAAGCCACAGGGCAGAGGGTGAAAGTGATAGCAACAGATTTTACCAAAGAAAATATCTTTAGTGAAATTGAAGAGCAACTGAAGGACCTCAACATAGGAGTTTTAGGTGAGCTTTTATTTGTGCCTCCATACAAAATCCAGTTCCAAAAAAGATGGCATGCTGCGTAAATAGAAACACAATCCAATGATTTGCAAATCTCATGAGCCCATATTTTATTTACAACAAAACATCTTCATTTTTAAAACACCATTTTAAGAAAAACATTAGCTTTTAAGCACTAAGCTGGGGCAGAGCCATGTTTACTGCAATGTAGCAGCCCCTCTTCTTTTAAGAACAATTTGTAAATCTGCTGATTTTACAGACTGTGGAATTTTGGGAGATAAATGTTGTTCCATGTTTTGTCCGATATAGGATTCTAGCTGCTCAACAGCCCTGGATCTCCTTTGTCATACTTTTTTGGTGAAAGTTATGGAAGATCGGCAGGCCTGTCAGCACCCAGACAATGCAGTTGTAGTTGATGCAGAATCGAGTTGATCAATATTTTGCTGGAACATGCAAAGATTTCCCCCAAAAAAGACAACCAACCTGTTACCGATCAATCTAATCAGCCGCAAAACATTCCTCCAGTTGTTTCTTTTTAGTATCATTTACTTTTCCAGCCTTTTGCTGCCACCATTCCAACATTTTTGAGACATGTCATTCACAGTGAGCTAACACTATTCATGAAATGGTCATTTTAAACATTCAACATATTTTTTCTATGTTCAACTGTAAATGAAACACAAATTTATAAAAATTTGCAAATCAACACAGGCACTTTGTGTTTAGAGACGAAAAATGGGGGAAAAAACCCTAATTATTGAAGAAAATAATATCAGTTATTTTCCGCGCTTTTTTCTACCCCAGTCAACAATGTAGGAACGCTGCCTTGCTTCATTCCCTACAGATTCCTTGAGAATGATGAGCTGGACAAGGTCAGTAGTACCTCAGCAGCTTATACTTAAAGGTGTTTAGTTTTTTGTGTATATGTACAAGCACATTATGTTTATATTTGTTGTTCCTTATTAAAACCCATTGATGATTAGGCTCTAAAAAAATCATCCATGCTCACCTGCTAGCTGTGATTTCTGTATGACTCTCTTTATGGCTTTGGCAGATATAATAGCATCACCTGCATATGTGTGCAAATGTATAATAAACAGATCCAGGACCTTGTGCGCGACTCCATGTACAATAAGTAAAAACAAAAAAAGAAAATACCACTACAACATTATGACTAACTATAGATTGTTTGGATTGACCCCATTTGCATAATTATTACTTTTATTGGTAGTAAGTTTGACAGCAGATAGCATCCTGATGTTGAACCTCAGAGGGTTCAGTTTATAATAACATGTTTTTAGAAGATCATTTTAGCTCCAAATACATTTCTTTAGATATAAATAAAGAAATGATCTGAGACCCATGTTCATCTATGTTTTCAGACAATTACCAAAGTGATAAACTGCAATGTGAAGACGATGGCCAAGGTAAGATCATAGTTTTATTGTTACTACAAAACAATGAATTTAAGGTCATATTGATTGTTTATTGATGAAGACAGTATATAATCATCAGTATAATCTGAGAGGGTTTGCCAGTAAAGGAAGCGCACGTAAAGGATTTTGTAGAGCAGGGTTGTCAAAGTGGCACATACAGCCCACTATGATCTTAAGTGGGCCAGATCAATGAACTTCCCCTTTCTGTCATTTTAAAGAAGTTTAAAACAGATTCCTGAGATATGGAAGTATGATTTCAGCAGTATGTCTCAGTTTTCTACATAAAAACGACATAAAGTAATAAATTAAATTACAGACAAAGTTTCGGTAGCTTCACCCAGACTGTCCTGTAATTATAAAGCACAAAGTTTTTGTTAATTTGCAAAAAATGTTCTTTGTTTATTATCTTTTTTTTACTGTGCACCCAAACATTTTTTTTATAGTTAATAGTGAATGAACGGGGACTTCTCTGTTATTTACATACTTTTGTATAGAGTTAAAATATACTTAAAACTCCACATTTTATGCCATCCTTTACATTTTCTAAAGCTGTCCAGTGGTCGGATTGGAGTCTTTGCCGGCCCAGTTCTGGTCCCCAGGCATTTTGTTTGACACCCCTGTTTTTTAAGGATTATTTGTATTGTTCTAAAAACAAGTTAATGCTTTTCATTGCTTCATATGACTCAAGTCTGAACTTATTTTCTTTTGTTTCCAGATGTGCAAAATTATTCTCCCAGGCATGGCAAACAGGTTTCCTACCCATGTTTTCTTCATTAGATGTAATGTGTAAAGTGATGGATTATAACATGCTAATTAATACTGAGGTTGTGCTCATAAGTGTTGTTTAATTATTTATATCTGTTTGTATGTTTATTGTATTTATAGAGGGAAAGGGATGATATTGAATGTTTCTTCTGGAATTGCTTCTATCCCATTTCCCATGTACACCCTGTATGCTGCATCAAAGGCAAGTTTCACATCAGCGGCACACTTTTAAGTCTCTCTGCCCAGGCGACGTATGATCCTTCACATTTTAATTTGCGTTCTTATAGGTGTTTGTGGAAAGATTTTCTCAAGGTCTACAAGCTGAATACAAAGATAAGGGGATTATTATCCAGGTATTTTGATCCTCACTCAGACATCATCTCAAGTTTTATGAAACGAAAGCAATTATTTTCTTTAAACTAACTTTAAAGTCTTTTATTTCTTGTCCTCTTGTCCTAAATCTTTCCCTCTCATGCACTGTTTTCAGTCAGTGGCTCCATTCGGGGTATCCACTCGAATGGCTGGGTTCCAAAAAGCTAACATGATAACTTTTTCACCAGAAGACTTTGTAAAATATTCACTGCAGTACGTCAGCGCTGGAGACAAAACAAATGGAAGCATCTGTCATACAGTTCTGGTAAGACTTAGTCACAAACATAATGCCAAAAACTGCCACCAAGAGACTGACCTGCAGTATTGTTTGTATGTGTGTGTGCATGTGTGTACAGGGCTGGTTGCTGCAGACTATTCCACTTAAGATTCTCTATGCAGAACCTATGATGCAAGGCTTACAAGACTACGCCAAGCAAAATCGAATGCAGGCTGGATTGGTCTAAATCAAAAGCCATGTGTGACAGACATGCTGGTGTGCTTCAGATCATAAGTTCTTCTCCCCTTGCTTTTCTTTTTCCATCAACAGGTTAATCTTGTTTTCTTCTGTCCGAAGACTGATTATTTTTTTTTGTGGAGCTATGCAGGTTCGTTTAGATGCTTTCTGGGAAAGTCTTGTTCTTGACTGTAAACAGCGATTTGCATCTTGCTATAAACCCTCTGTGTTTATGTTCATGAAGGCATGTCTTGATTGTAGACTTAGACGCACCTACCACCTTGAGAGTGTTCTCGACCTGGGTTGATGTTGAAAAGGTTTCTTTCTTCCTTTTTTTTGTTTAACCATCAAAATGATTCTGCCATCGCCTACTTTTGTAATCTTTGTGTGGTCTTTCAGGCATTTTGGTGTTCTTAAGCCGGTCAGTGTTTGGTCACTCCTGAAGTTTTTGCTATCTCTCGGATGATTTTGTTTGTTTTTTTTTCAGTCTATGGCCTCCCTTACTTGTACTGACATCTTTGAAATTCCAGTAAACAGTTACTAAATCCACATTCAACACTCAGAATCCGCTTCAGAATAACACTGGAACAGGCCTCGCCTGCCCAATTAATTTTTACAGTTGACTGACAAAACTGGTTGTGTACTAAAAAAAAAAGTTATAACATCTACGCAGTTAATGCATTGCCTTTGTCAAACAGCCCCTGAATTAAAGGTGAAAGTCTGCACTTCCATCACATCTTAATTGTTTGATTTAAAATCCACTGTCATGGTGTATAGAGGCAAAATTGTCTCACTGTCCAAATACTTATGGAACTGTATTAATATGAATGCAGTAGTACTGTCTGAACTGTTTCCATGTAAAACACATGTCTATAAATTACATTCTTAATTTAATCTCCACGTCTTCATCTTATAGGGACTGATGCATGTTGTTTGTTCACTCAAATAAATGAAATATCACCATTGTTGGTTTTAAACAATATTGTTACTGAACAAATGGTGCTTTTCAAGTTTACTTGAGTAATTAGTGTTATTTCATGTAATACTGTGCACTCAAAAACAAGCTTTACAATTTGCTTTAAAAAAAAACCCTCAGGTCAAGTTATTCCACCCAAATGCAAAGTAACTGTTAACTTGCCAAAGCACTGCTTTTTGTTGTAATCAGACTATTACTTATTTATGAGTGTTCTTGTCAATAGAAAAATGATGTCGTGTTTCTCCTTCTTTGCACCTTCAGTTTTACGGTTCAGATATAAATCTCTTACTCCACACAGTTAATAATTCTGATGCAATTCAAGGTTAAAATTTACATAACTTTCTCATACTTGACTAAGCACTGATAGCAGTGACAAATGTGTGCGTGTGTGTGTCTACATATCTTGTAGAGATATGAGTAATAATAATAATAATGACACCTTATCTGCTAAACGGAAGGACCTGTCTTGTTCCATTAATTCACTCCTACACATCCGTACGCACACACACACACACACACACTTTTAACTGTCATTAGCATCCTCTATTCTCCTCTGAGATCAAGAAAACATTTGCTCGCGTGATGGGAAGACGCAATCATCTCAGAATCAGACTCTTTTCTAATCCACAGCAGGAGTTCGGGACAGAGACTTATCAGCTTCTACCTGCATCCTCAGAAATTAGTTTGACAGTGTGCTGCAGACAGCATGATATACACTGTTTAAAGAAAACAAAACCTTCCCTCATCTGTGTATGTATATATGCTGACACGCACAGCTGTTTTAATTAGCATGTGCTTCAGTGATGTCTGACCTAAAAGGGTCACTAATCACACGGAGACAGGGGTGTTTAGACAACCGTGATGAATGATCCTCCCCATGAGAGATAGTGTCGGGAATAAGAAAAAAGAAGGAGTGAGAAGGGGAGGAAGGTCAGAGTGACCCTGAGCTTAGATAGTCTATTCCTAGTCTGAATGTTTAAAAAAAAAGAAAGGAAAATAATGACCTGTTCACAAATCAAAACTCTGTTCTCTTCTCTTGGTATCGATCAATGACTGTAGGAAACATATACACTGATTGGTATGGATATTCATGGTAAGAGAAAATCTCAGAATCTGTGAGCTCATCAGTTTATCTGTAATTGATACATATGACTTTGGTTTTGTAATATATTAAGGCAGAAAATCCTCGATTTCCACTGTGTACATTCACAGCAACTACAAATAGTGTAGGAGCCAAACTCACGTCCACAAAGTCTTTTAAAATTGTCAAATTATCAAAAATGTATTGCTGCCTGATTGATCATCGCGAATAATGGCCGATGGTAAATCAAGTGTGTGGACGCTTTTAACGTATTCCTACCTGAGCTGTTTGTTTTTGTTGCACATCATTGTTCATGGTAAAGCTTCAATCTAACCTGGCCTGGACTGCAGATGTAAATTAGCCGTGTTGTTTAAATTTTTTTAATGTTTTTTTCTTTGGTTTATGTATATTCGTTTACATGTATGAAAGGAAAGAAAAAAGAAAGGAGTATTTATCATACCAACACAAGCAGGGTGAAACAAGAGTAACTAGTAAATCATACTTCATGAAAAATAAAGATGTGTTTTAACTGAGTGATTTGATGTCTTCTCAGAGTTCTCTAAGGTCAACTGAATTTTATTTATGTAGTGTTTTTCATAAATACTACGAGCTGTAATAAATCATTGGAGTGATTTATTATTAATCATTCATCAGGCCCCGTTAGACCCTGAACTTGAGCTGTTAAGAATACGGATGGGTGGATGTTGTGATCGTGTAAAGATTCGTCATGGCCACTAGAGGGCGCGAAATGTAAAGGTTTCATCGTGCCTTGGGATTCCAGAGCTATAGCGCTGCAGCAGAAATCCGGCGATCAAATGTAGTCAAATTACCATTTTTATCACAACACTGTTCCCCGCCACCGGGGATTTCCCATCATGCGTGCTAAATTGAAATATCTGTGTAAATGCATCTACTTTCAAAGCTGCAGTCTGAGCAACGTGTGTGTTACCTGCAGCTGAAATCAAAGGATGTTTACCTGGGTTGTTCAACAGCAGGGACTTTCCTCACCTGGGGTGATCTGCGATTTATGGGTATGGGTGGCAGCACAATTATGACACCTTTTAATTTATAGTTTCCCTTACAAAGCCTCTCTAACGTCAAGTGCGGTTCTCAAAGCTAATATTTCACTTATTTTCCAGACAGTGTGTGGGAGAGCTTTCTACACACGCAGAATGAGGGCTTTAACCATCAGATAGGTCAGATTTTGGTACACATATTAAACCCAGAGTGTCTAAAGCCTCCAGCAGATAATGAATTCATTAAGGAAGGGGCCAAGAAAAAGGTTTTATCGCAGAAGATGACCATGGGTGACATGGGTGGTCAGGGCTCTTGAAGACACCTTCTTGTGTGTACATTTATGTGTGTGTGTGTGTGTGTGTGTGTGTGTGTGTGTGTGTGTGTGTGTGTGTGTGTTGAAGCACGGGTAAGAAAAGGAGAGCCTTTGAGGATGCTCCCTGTGTGACTCCTTTCTCCTCCCTGGACACTGGTTGCGTGTTGTTTCAGTAAACAGAAGGGTCCAAAGATTATCCAAGACAAGCACATTGCCACTGCAGCCCACCCAGAAGCCAAGGTCAGCACTACTAACCTTCAGACACATGCGTAAACTTACACACTAAACCAAGCTCACACACAAAAAAATTCCAGGTTGACTCAAGTGTTTAGTTTGAAACTAGAACTTTATCCACCTTTGTGCTTGCAAAGTAAAACAAAGGTAGCAATTAACCCGGATAAAGGAGTTTTGAAAAAGTCCATACACTTACATACTTGACTGGCCAAACAGCCCAGATGTATATACTATACCTTTAACTCCATGTTGCCTTTTTTGGAGTGATGCTCATCTGTATTGATGGGCAAACATTCATAGAAGCTGAAATATTTCTATGACATAATTACCAATCTTGTTTTTCAGATTTTCTTGCTGAGCCCATGAACATTTAATTCTCACTGATCAGTTCCAGGGGGGGGGGG